AGGGCATCTGCGATTGTTGATGACGGTACAGGTGAATGAGGCCAGCAATAAAAAAAAAGAAAAAAAAAAAAAGAAAAAAAAAAGGCGGGAGGTGGGGGGGAGGAATGCAATTTTGTATGTATGTCGTGTATGTCGTATTACATGCAGTATTAATTATTGTCTGACCATACGAATAGAAGCATGTCCGTCTGAAGCACTGCGGGCAGGACAGCGTTATGGCACAGCTATTGTAGCAAGATTTAAATTGACCGCATCACGTCGTCGTGGACAATGACGTGTGTGCGTTGGGGTGTGTGGACGGGAAGTGGGAGAAAGAGTCCCGCTGCTGGCCGGGGCAACGCCTTTTAAATGTGGGGACGTTTTTTTCTTGTTTTTTTTTTTCTAATAAAATAATAATGATCATGATAAAATAACAATAAAATAATAGTAATAATAGTAATATTGAGAGAAAAGTATTTAAACAGATTCAAACAATAATTCCCATGGCCCGCAAGATTGAGAGAATGTTTTCACGTCCCTACATCTATCCTCTCTGCCCTAGATGCCACCTCCTCGAGGTCCGGGTCGGCGGTCTGCTCCATCCGACGGCCAGCCAGGCGGCAGCAAGGTCAACGAGTGACCGCGAAAACTCGTCGTATGATATGTGTCATGTCTGTACGATCAATGCTGAAATGTATGATGTATGGATGCGGGAGGGAGGTGACATATTTGATCGCATCCGAATATGGTTAGCTTTCTGGGTACCAGTGCGTGGATCTTGATCTTGTTCGAACAAGGTTCACTGTACGACGATGCTACCGTACCACATAACAGCCCCTCTAATGATGGTAGTATTACTGGTAGCCTGTAGCCTGTAGCCTGCAGGACAGGTCACAGACAGTAGAGAGGTGGCAGTAGAGGGTGGAGGAGGGAGGAGGAGGACAAGAGAGGGAGGGAGAGAGAGGGAGGGAGAGATAGTAGGGGAGAGGAAAAGGGAAGGGAACAATCAAAAGAAGAAGAGAAAAGGGAATCGATATGAAATAAGAGATGTGGAGTGTGATATCCTCACTCTTCAAAATCCCAACACAAAGCATTCCTGAAACTGGTTGCGAGCTACTGCACTGTAAAAGCTTGCTGATAGGTCGATGAACAGCTAGAGCCTCTAGCTGTAGCTTGGGTTCCAACCTCTCCCCCCCCCTTAAGGCCTCCCCCCCCCTTCCCCAGGTAGCCTGTAGCCTGTAGGTGGCCTCGCACCTTACTCGAGCTGGTCTGCACAGCCCCCCCTCCCGACGCCCCTCAAGAGCTCGTGCTAACCTCCCCAGTGAACTCATTCCTACCTCTCCCAGCGCCTTCTGAAACCTTGGGAGTACGCAGACTGGTACTACGAATGATAGATACGAGGCACCCAACCTCTCGTACTGGCAGGTACCCTCAATCGTACGTCGTCACTCGTACGTGCGGTGTATTATCGTCCTGGCCCTAAACGTGGTGCGGTCTGATACATGCTCCTCCTCCTTCCCGTCGCTCCTTTTTCCTATAGCCGTAGTCAGTCTCTTCTTCCATCCCTCCTCCAACATCCGTCAAGCTCCTTCCTTCCTTACCCCCCCCCCCCCCCCCCCCCCCCCCCCCCCCCCCCCCCCCAGGTGCACATGTTTGATCTAATGCATTGAGTAATGGTGCTCTAGATCAAACCTGCAACTGTCGGTCCTGGAGCGCAGCTTAGGGCAATACTACCTGTACGAGGAAAACAACACGGTGCAGCCCAAACAGTTCATCGGCAACAAAGTAGCGGGCATCCTGTTTGAGAACAAGGCGGACCACGCGACGTTCTTCTCGCCAGATATCGAGGCCATTCAGGGCATCCACATGATTCCGATCCTGGCGGTAACAGCGCTGATGCGCAAACCTGCGTTTGTCAGGGAGGAGTGGGAAGCCTTCTTCAGCAACGGGCGCATGTCAGGGATCCAGAACGGCTGGGCAAGCATCATATACGGAAACTATGCGACCGTAAACCCTAGGGCTGCGTGGGATTTCTTCACATCTCCAGACTTTAACCTGCAGTTGCTGGATGGAGGCGTATCGCTGACCTGGTTGCAGGCGTACGCGGCCGGTAAGCCACACTCTCGTTCCCTCTGCCTATCTGTCTCTCAGACATAAGACGCCGACGGTTCTGTATGCTGACTTGGAGGCTGTGTGTTTTCTCTCTATGTGCAGCACTTGGCGGAATATGATTGTGAGGTGAAGAGGCCAGGGACAAGTTGGGTGGCGTGGCCGAGAGATTCTTCCCGGGAGACTGGCCGTACTCGGATGCAGAAATCGAGGGATGCACGGCATGGGATTGCCAATTGGCGTGGTAGGTAGCGGTAGCTGCGGTGATGTACTCGCGATGGTACAGAATTCTGGAATATGTCTAACGACTAGCGATGCGCGATCGGTGCCGTGTATGAGTTCTAGTGCATATATAAGTGCATGTATGTAGTCGGTGTGCTCGCTGCACTCAGCCGACTCCTTCAAGGAGTCGGTGAGACGCTGAGGAGTGAGCACGTTTCTCTTAGCTGATGCCCAATACGTGCATCTTGCATGCAAGGCGCTCAGGCAATCTTTGGCCCCAGGCTGGAAGGACGGGAGGCAGGGTGGAAGAGGGTGGAGCCGACGGACGGGATTGGAAGCTCACCCCTTCCTACTGGATTGTTTCCTTGGTCGCAGCAGAGGTTGACTTCTCCAACGCCTACGAGGGTCTTCTTCATAATCTCGATATCGAAATGGGCGGATCAGCACGGGTCTATCACACATTCACTCTCACCTACATGCAAGGCATGGTATACTCTATGCGGGAATGCGCACTGCAATGGACATACCGAGACTAAAGGGGCTGCTCTATTGATGCCATTCGTCTACACGACGCCTTCCGTCAATGAGACGACAAGGACAAGTCGAATAAGGTCAAAAGACGGAAGCAATGAATCAGCTTCGCACGGAGATGTTGCCAACTATTCCATCATCAACCACTCAGGTCAAAAAGATCGCACAACAAGATCAACGGTGTCTCAGCGACAAGAGGGCCGCGACATCCAGCCGATACCGGGAAGGATCGAAAAGGAGCTCCGAGGTGAGCCTGGAGCTAAGTTTGAAGGGAGCACGAAAAGCACATGGCCTGGATGGCCAGAGTGTCAAGGATAAGGGCATCTGCGATTGTTGATGACGGTACAGGTGAATGAGGCCAGCAATAAAAAAAAAGAAAAAAAAAAAAAGAAAAAAAAAAGGC